ATAGATTGACCTACTATTGAATGTTTTTATTGCTCCTTCAGGAATTTCAGCCCTTCTGTATGGAGACATTTTTTCTTCTGCTTTACCCTTTAGAATTCTTTTTTTTTTTTTTTTTTAAACTGAGGGTCTATCTACTGGTAGCAAACCAAGTTTTTGCTTGTCTGAAATATCTTTATTCATTCTTCAATTTTTGTTTCTGTGCATGCAATTAGCAATGGTATTCTTTTTCCTCAATATGATTGTCACAAAGCTAATGATGGAAAATTCAGCCGTCAGTTCCTTAGAAGATAACCCATCTTTGACTTTGGCTACTTTAAGATCTCCTTTTTGTCTTGGGCATCCTGTACCCTCACTCTGACGTGTCCTTCACACACCTATGTTTTTGTCAGTAGTTGAATAGGCCCCTTTAAGGCGCTGGACACTGTTAACCCCTTTTCTCTTGGGGCTCTCATGGTGGCCCTCTTAGACTTCTCAGGCTACTTTTGGGATCCTTTTTCCTTTCTACAGTTTTATATAACTAGTTTCTGTCTTAAGTCCTTGCACCAGTCCACAAGTTTATGTGGAAATATGGTTTTCTTTGCTTTAACTAAATGCATATAACTATTCAATATTTAGCTCAAATTGGACTCTTCAGACTCCAGATCCAAACATTTATACTTAGCTAGCCCACTAGTGACTTGAATGCACACAGCCTAACCAGAACCCATTTCGCTCTCCAAACCTGCCTCCTCAGCCTTGTTCATTATTTCTGTGAATGGCATCACCATCTATGAGTGGCATAATCATCAACCATGTGTCAATTAAGATACACCTTCCCCCTAGTCATTCTTTCCTAACTGTTGGCCGGTAAGAACCACTTCTTCAGTATCTCCCGGATCACTGTCCTCTTTACTGCTACAAATACCGTATCCACTCTCCCCTTGGAGTTTTCTTTCTTCCCTTTTTTCTGATCTGTTTTCTTATTGTGAGAATGATTGTTTTAAAATGAAAATCAGTTCAATCACCTTTTTCGAGCCTTTGGATGTTTCGTCGCCTTTCTGATACAATCCAGTCTCCTGACATGCCAGCTCCGTCCTGGGTTACAGTTGTGCCTCGTTGGTCCGTTTGCCTCCAAGGTTCTGTCTTATGGGAACCACTTCTCTTTGGAGCTAATGTGCACACTGCTTCTGCCAGCGTCCTCTGCCTTCCTCCTTCCCCTTTTCATACTACAAGAGGAAGCACCCCACCATCACTGCCAGTAGAGACCAGAAGAGGGCATTGGATCCCCTAGAGCTGGAGTTACAGGCAGTTGTGAGCTGCCCAGCATGGGTGCTGCAAACTGATTCTGGTCCTCTGAAAGAGCAATGGTGTTTGCTCTTAACTTCTGAGCCATCTCTCCAACCCTACACCACAATGTTTTATTACTTATGTTTAGTATCAAATAGGACCAAGCCTTCCTCACTGATTTTTTTAAAAATTTGTTCAGCTTTTCTTATTTATTATTTATATAACTCTATAATCTAGCTCTAGAAAAAATGATTTTTTAAAAAACTAGGATAATGTTAAATTTATATATTAACTCATAAAGACAACTTTATAATGTTGAATTGTGCTTTCCAGGAACATTGGATATAATGTGTACTTTTATGCTTGTAAATGTTAGATAATTTTCTCATCTTGCTTATTTCTTATTAAGTTTATGTGAATATGAATGTTTTGTTTTGCTATTTTATATATTATAAACATTTACATTTTAGTTTTATATATTGTGTGAATCTACTCAATTATTATATCACTTTTTCAATTGATTCTTTTGAGTTATCTAGATATTTAATAATGTCATCTACAAAAAAGTTTTATGCTCACCTATCAATTTTGATAACTTTTAAAGGCTTCTTAATTGTTAAATTGTGTTGAATTTTTCTTATTCAGTGTTAAATAATGGAGATAGCAAGCAGCCTTTTTTTCTTTATTGAAGCTGTGTTTTGTGTGTGTATGTACGTGTGTGTGTGTGTGTGTGTGTGTGTGTGTGTGTGTGTGTATTCATGCATGTAGCTTTGAAGGCTGGAAGAGGGTGATGGAGCCTCTGGAGCTGGAGTTACAGGCATTGTGAGCTGCCTGAACTGGGTGCTGGGAACTGAATTTGGGGGCTCTGGGACAACAAGAGTTCTGAACCCCTGAGCTTTCTGTCCAGCAGGAGTGCTTTTAATGATCTGCCCTTAAGAACTCTGCTGGAGGCCTGGTCTGGTGCTGCCTGCTTTTAATCCCAGCACTCAGGAGGCAGGCAGATAGTTTTCAGTTCTACACAGTGAGTTCTAAGCCAGTCAGAACTGCCTAGTGAGACACAGTCTCAAAAACTAAACTAAAAAAAAAGAAGAAGAAGAAGGAGAAGAAGAAGGAGAAGAAGAAGAAGAAGAAGAAGAAGAAGAAGAAAAGAAGAAGAAGAAAAGAAAGAAAGAAAGAAAGAAAGAAAGAAAGAAAGAAAGAAAGAAAGAAAGAATATAGTATATGAAAAAGGAAACAACACCAGGAAAAATTAAAACAATAGATTGACCTACTATTGAATGTTTTTATTGCTCCTTCAGGAATTTCAGCCCTTCTGTATGGAGACATTTTTTCTTCTGCTTTACCCTTTAGAATTCTTTTTTTTTTTTTTTTTTAAACTGAGGGTCTATCTACTGGTAGCAAACCAAGTTTTTGCTTGTCTGAAATATCTTTATTCATTCTTCAATTTTTGTTTCTGTGCATGCAATTAGCAATGGTATTCTTTTTCCTCAATATGATTGTCACAAAGCTAATGATGGAAAATTCAGCCGTCAGTTCCTTAGAAGATAACCCATCTTTGACTTTGGCTACTTTAAGATCTCCTTTTTGTCTTGGGCATCCTGTACCCTCACTCTGACGTGTCCTTCACACACCTATGTTTTTGTCAGTAGTTGAATAGGCCCCTTTAAGGCGCTGGACACTGTTAACCCCTTTTCTCTTGGGGCTCTCATGGTGGCCCTCTTAGACTTCTCAGGCTACTTTTGGGATCCTTTTTCCTTTCTACAGTTTTATATAACTAGTTTCTGTCTTAAGTCCTTGCACCAGTCCACAAGTTTATGTGGAAATATGGTTTTCTTTGCTTTAACTAAATGCATATAACTATTCAATATTTAGCTCAAATTGGACTCTTCAGACTCCAGATCCAAACATTTATACTTAGCTAGCCCACTAGTGACTTGAATGCACACAGCCTAACCAGAACCCATTTCGCTCTCCAAACCTGCCTCCTCAGCCTTGTTCATTATTTCTGTGAATGGCATCACCATCTATGAGTGGCATAATCATCAACCATGTGTCAATTAAGATACACCTTCCCCCTAGTCATTCTTTCCTAACTGTTGGCCGGTAAGAACCACTTCTTCAGTATCTCCCGGATCACTGTCCTCTTTACTGCTACAAATACCGTATCCACTCTCCCCTTGGAGTTTTCTTTCTTCCCTTTTTTCTGATCTGTTTTCTTATTGTGAGAATGATTGTTTTAAAATGAAAATCAGTTCAATCACCTTTTTCCAGCCTTTGGATGTTTCGTCGCCTTTCTGATACAATCCAGTCTCCTGACATGCCAGCTCCGTCCTGGGTTACAGTTGTGCCTCGTTGGTCCGTTTGCCTCCAAGGTTCTGTCTTATGGGAACCACTTCTCTTTGGAGCTAATGTGCACACTGCTGCTGCCAGCGTCCTCTGCCTTCCTCCTTCCCCTTTTCATACTACAAGAGGAAGCACCCCACCATCACTGCCTCCCCTTGACCGGCCCTCTGCCTCCCCTCCTCATCATCGTCATCGACACGCTGTAGGTTGGACGTCCCTGCTTCACACCCCATCCATACAGTTGTACTGTCTGAAAAATAGCACACCCTGCGGGCACAGGAAGCCCTGTTACCGCCGTGTGTGCTCTTTTTGTTGTTGTTGTTGTTTAATTTTAAAAGATTTTATTTTAAGTATGTGTAGGTTTGTGCACATGAGTGCAGGTACCTGAAGAGGCCATCAGATCTCCCTGGAGCTGTCGTTCCTGGTGGTGATGAGCTGCCTGGTATGGTGCCGGGAGTAGTGCGTGTCGCTAACCACTGAGCCGTCCCTTTACCTCCTTTACCCATTTGTGTTCTTATCGATACTAGAACACTTGGTTGTGGAATTAGTGCTCACTTTCTATGGAACTGCTAATATTTATACATATGAATCACAGCTATAATACTGTTACATTGTACAGGAAGCTACGAAAATTTACTTTGACCCAGAAAAACCTTTTATTGGTGATGATGAAGACGAAATTGAGACGAAGGAGGATGAAATTCAAGAAAAGGAAGAAGTAAAAGTGAAGGAAGAGGTAGAAGTGAAGGAAGAGGAAGAAGTGAAGGAAGAGGAAGAAGTGAAGGAAGAGGAAGAAGTGAAGGAAGAGGTAGAAGAAGTGAAGGAGGAGGTAGAAGAAGTGAAAGAAGAGGTAAGAAAGAGTATTTGCTGGGCGTAGTGATGGGAGACAGCTACCTGGGAGTCTGACACAGGAGATGGCTTGAGTTCAGGAATTCAAGGCCTGGCAGCACAGTGAGACCCTGTCTCAAAACAAACAAAAAACCAAGAAGACAAGCAAAAATGATGTGTGGTTATTTAGCATTGGCTTCTCCCTTCCCTCTGTCTTTTCAAAGGCTAAGATGATAAGAGCCAGAGAAGGTGGAAGCAGGTGTCATGGAGTGACCGCTTCAGTTTCCCTCTTCCCCATCCAGATGTAGCCACACCTTCGGGATACTCATCCTGTGACTTTCTTTTTTCCTAAATCCACGTGTTCCCATTAGCTTCGTTCATTCACCACCATCCCCCACCACAACACAGTCCTCCTCACTCGCCCCCCGACCACAACA